GCATCGGACCGAAGTCCGGAACTAACTGCATCGGACCGAAGTCCGGAACTAACTGCATTGGACCGAAGTCCGGAACTGACTAAACATGGCATAGCATAACACATCAACTAGCATAACACATATACGACATGCTACATAGGGCCGTGGCCCGGAACACATACTACTTAACACATAAAACATAGCACACAAATCCTGTTCGAACCACGAAGGCATCGAACATACTAACTGCTGCATCGGACCTAAATCCGGAAACTACTACTAACTGAACGGGCCGGCATTGTGGCCTTAGACCCGTTCCTACTGGAAGGAAACTCACCTCGTAAGCTGGTTGCTGAGTGTGTGGCTCGGAAAGCTAACGGCGGCTGCTCCTGAATCTCCTCGGCTACAAACCATAAACACACTCAATCAAATACTAAACACTGCGCTTGGGGTAAAATGACTCTTTTACCCTTGGTCAAAGTCAACTCTCCTTTGGGCTGACTCGCCGAGTTGGGCCACCCAACTCGCCGAGTCCTACTCTCATTTTTCCCTTACTCACTGCTACTCGTCGAGTCTGGCATTGACTCGACGAGTACCCTCTTGATCCAAGAACTCAGACAATCTTCATCCGACTCGCCGAGTCGGATGAACAGACTCGACGAGTTGTTCTTGATCCCCAAGAAGATTGCCTTGGACTCACCGAGTTGTATGAACAACTCGCCGAGTCCCTCCATCACTGAGTCTACTCTCAACTCGCTGAGTCCACTCCCTAACTCATCTCGTCCACTCGACACTGATTAAACTGAAGGACTCGGGACTCGCGACCCGACTCGTCGAGTCGTTCTTCCGACTCGCCGAGTCACCGCCATGCAACAGATCTCTACTTGATTTTGTTTGAATCCAATGCATACAATTGATAGATCTGAGTCCAATAAGCTGTTTTACCACGTAAAGTTTCCAACTTTACGTGCACAACCTCATGAATAAGGGAAATAAAGCTAAAAGATACATAAAAAGGGTAGATCTATGGTTATCATGCAATATAACTCCAAAAAGACAGTAGATCTGGGCTCTACAACACCCCAACATTCAGATCCATAGATATTCCGACTTAATAAGACATTCATGCAAGTGCAAGGCTTGGAACAAGCATCAACTAGCTCTTAGGAGAGCCCTAATGGAAGTTTAAAGCATATAACAAGATGGAACTCCGAAAATACCTCTATTAGCTCTGATTTGGCCTTGGATCTTTGCACTACAACACTTCTCCTTGCTTCTTCCTTCTTCTCCTTCTTCACACCTTCACAAAATGGCACCAAAACACATATAAGCTCTTCAATGGAGGTTTGGGGCTCTAACACTGTGTTCTCAGGGTGAGGGAGGCGAGAATGGGGGCTATAAGGTGGTATAAATAGTGGGCAAACCCGGGGATTTAGGGTTTCACCCAGACGGACGGACTCGCCGAGTCCCCGGCTCCCGCGTGCACAAAATACGCGACCCAACTCGGCGCGTCAGGCTAGAACTCGCCGAGTCCCTCTTGAAAACTTAGACAATTGATAATTAATTAACATACCGGGAACGGGTCGTTACACTTTAGAGTTGGTCATGATAGCAGGAATTGTCCTTTTGGATTGAAGAAATCATAGAATTACAAGAACTTCATCAAATTGGTCGTTTTTAGATATTATTAAGTTTGATTTCAGTAAAATTAAAGTATGTTTTTGATGAATTATATGGTATTATCAACTTTCAGTTCAGTGTAATAAAGTTGTCGTTTGATGAATTCTATGTGTCTTTCTTTAATTATTATGGTTAAAACTAATAAGATGTTCGTGTTTTCTGCTATATTTATGTTTCATATGATTATACAGTTTATCATTCCAACAGAATACCAGAGCTGAACATTACAGTTCTCATTCAAACATTATGTCAAAAAACAATGTTCATTATACTTCATTTTATTTGTTTGATGTTTCATAAAATCAACACACATAATTTTCAAAACTTTGAATTGTAAACATTTTTGTTAGTTATATATATTTATTATTCTTACAAAATGATTTTCAATGTGTGCATTGATTCTAGTTAACAAAAATTGATACATTTTATAAGTCATATTTGCTAGAGTATTCTGATAGAATTATTTCATTCCGATAACATGTAGAGTTTTGGAATCCATATTTATATAACATTCTAATAGAATTATGTCGTCAATAAAATATTCAGCAAGTTTTAAAAAAAAATACATAATAATATTGTTAAGTAGTTAATATAATGTAGTGTTGGAATTTTTTATATTTGGAATGTGAATATAGTACCGTATGAATATTTTTTCCTTTATCATGTTTTAAAAAAAAATCAAATCGGAATCATTTATTTTTATCAATGATCCCTAATATCAAGGCTTTTAATTTGCATAGAATCCGTCTTTATCCCTATCTAGTTTGTATAACATTTTTAAATATTTTAATTTTTCAACTTACAAAGCATATACAAACAGAGCACAAACACTCTCGGAATTTCTTAGCAATGGGCGATCAAGAACCAGATGTCAATAATCATATTTATGAGGAACATTATTTGGCTAGTGATGATTACAATGGAATTGAAGATTTCGATTTTCCTGATAATGATACACTATATAATGATGGATTTCAAACAGGAGAAAGCAGTAATCCTAATTTAGGTGAGTTTTTTTAATTTTTCATTCTAATTTAGATTCTATATTGTAACAAACATGTTTAATGTTAAATGTTAATATTTTCATTGATGAACATACAGAGGCCGCAAATAATGATGAAGACAAAAATCACTTCGTTGATGAAGATATAGAGGTTAATATTGATTACAGTAAAGGTACTAAATTCAATTCAGGATACTGAAGTTTTTACAGAAAAACATATAATTCTTTGAGAATAGTATTTATATAATTCTTTCAGAATGATTATGTATTTTCTATTTTAAACAGGACAACCACATGTTACTCATGAAGATCCAAAGTTTAATATTGATTTCAATGAAGGTACTAAATTCAATTCAGTATATTTTAATTTTTATTTATATAATTCTTTCAGAATAATTTTGTATTTGCTATGTTTAAGCAGGACAACCACATGTTAATCATGATTATGTTTCTCCTGGTGGCACCTTGTATTGGACTCCGATTGTTTTAGACGACATCGAACCAAAAGTTTCATCAAAATTTAATTCATATGCTGAAGCAGAAAGAATGTATAGAAACTATGCATTAGAATCTGCTTTTGATGCCAGGATTGGAAGAGTCCAAAAAACGAAAAATTGGATTATTACAAATAGACATCTTGTGTGCAATCGGGAAGGTAATCTGAATACTAGTAAAGTAGATACTCTAGATATTCAACATAAAAAGACTCAAAGAAGGAAAGATTTATTTAGGAGGAATTGTAAAGCGAAAGTTGTTTTAGAAATAATTCCCAGTACTCTTAGATATGTCGTGAGTGATTTTGTAGAGCGACATAATCATGAGTTGTTTGGCAAGGGCAATATGCACTTATCTTGTTCAAAAAGAAAACTTTATTATTCCCAAGAAATTTTCATTCATAATTTGTCAAAACAAAACATTGGTCCTGTAAAAGCACATAGGCTATATAGTGCTCCTCAGGTTGATCCTTCGGTTCGAGGTGGATTGGTTACTGATTTCAAGAATGCTAGGAGGAATCTTAATTGTTACATAGGTGGGAGGGACGCGAAATTCCTTTTTGACAAGATGAATGATAGGAATAAAAATGTCCCATCATTTACTTTTGAGTATAAAGTGTTGAACAAGAGATTGAATTCTCTATTCTGGGCTGACAAAACAGCAAAGTATAATTACAATTCATTCAGAGATGTTGTATCACTCGATGCCACATTCAGCATGAATAAGTATTTCTAACCTTTAATACTTTTCAATAAGAATTTCATCATTTTCAGTTATGTAAACTAATATTTTATTTTTTAAATAGGTATGATATAGTTTTTGTTCCGTTTACTGGCATCGATAATCACAAAAAATGTGTAACATTTGGTGCTGGTCTTTTAAGTAAAGAAGATGGAGTTTCTTATGAATGGTCGCTTAGAGCTTTTTTGAAAGCTTTTAGAAAACAACCTCAATTGGTTTTATCTGATCAAGATTCAGCTTTGAAAAAAGCTATAAATAAGGTTTTCCCATTGGCACATCATAGGTTATGTATTTGGCATATAACGAAGAAGTTGCCAAATAAGGTATGCATAAAACGAATATTATTCTTATTTTTTGTTATGATTCTACAATTATTTTCTCATATTCTACCTGAATGTTTTGCTTTAACAGAATCAATTGCATGAACTCTTAATTTTTGTTATCATTCTTTAATGATTTTTTAAAATTCTACCTTCATTATCTCATATTCTACCAGAATCAATAGATTTTAACAAAATCAATGACTTTAACTCTTACTTTTTGTTATGATTCTACAATTATCTCATATTCTGACAAAATCAATTGATTTTAACAAAATCAATTACTTTAACTCTTACTTTTTTATTTTAAAATTCTACCTTCATTATCTCATACTCCGACAGAATCAATTGTTATTAACATAATCGATTAGTTGAACTCTTAATTTTTGTTATGGTTCTACAATTATATTTTCATATTCTACCTTCATGTTATCATATTCTAACAGAATCAATTTATACAGATTTTATCAATTGAAGATGCAACTACCAATCAAAAATTTTGAAAGCGTTTTCACTCTATAATTTGGAATTCTAAGTTGGAACCACATGAATTCGAGAATGTGTGGCGTCAGATGTTGGAGGAGTTTAAAATTACTGATAACACTTGGATGAATACAATGTATGGTTTGCGAAAATCTTGGATCCCCGCATTTTTCAAGCACATTCCAATGTCTGGTCTTATGCGAATTACATCGTTGTCTGAAAGTCAGAATTGGTCATTTCAAACGACCACATTAACCAGTTCTTATCTTGTCATGTTTATGATGACATTTGAATAAGTTATGAAACGACAACGACATAACCAAATTCTCAATGATTTTAATACTGCCACCACTTTTCCTAAATTCATTATCCGTACTCCGTATGAACCTCATGCTTCATATGTATATACACAAAATATTTTTTATCAGGTTCAGAAAGAGATATCAAGAGTTGAAGATAATTGTTTCCAAAAGAATGTGATATCTTCCAATGGTGTTGACACAATTATTGTTCTGGAGAAAACAAAGAACATAACTATTAGGTAAACAAATAATGTCGATGTTGACGACAAAGATGAGGAATACAATTATGATTGTCTTATAAGGGATACTGAACACACGGTATATTTTTTTTCACATTATTTGTCATTTTATCATTTGCATTTAAAAACTATAAATTTACAACTTAAACATTCTCACTAATCATCTTATATTTTCCAGATCAAACACTCAACCAAAGATGGTTCGTTCAAATGTACTTGTATGCATTTTGAACATGTAGGTATCTTATGTAGACACATATTCTGTGTGTTTAAGTTTTATGGCATCGAACAAATTCCTGAAAAGTACATTTTGAAACGTTGGCGTAGGGATGTTATTCCAACAGAATTACTGAAAAGACGTTTCATTAATTCTTTTGACGATTCTAATTTCGACATGACTGTTATTGATATTTTTTCAATGGTTGACCATTGTGTGTCTTTTTTGAGCCATGATGCAGCTAAGTTAAAGTTATACCTCGACGAGCAAAATAAGTTGAAAAAAAAATTCGTAGACGACTGTCCAAATCATGATCTACCGACCAGAGCAGATCATTTCAAGAAGCTTTTAGGCGTGGTTGATCCTTATGTAGAATCTGATGTTAATGACATTCAGAATCCTACAGATATTCGTAACAAAGGTTGTGGTAGTTGTGGGAAAAGATTAAAATCTACAAAAGAGATGATTGAGAAGAAAAGCACGAAACCTAAGAGAAAATGTGCTACATGTGAACAGATGGTTCATCATGACAAAAGAAATTGTCCTCTAAAGAACGCCCAGAAATAAGTTCATTGTTTTTTTTATTGGTTTTATGTCGTTCAATAAAGTATTCACTTTGATTGCTAGTGACGATAACATTGTCAATCAACATAACAATATTTATCTTTTCTTATTACTTAAAAATAATCATAAAACGTAATACAAAAATTCATTCCATCGATTGTTTAAATTCATTATTTTCAAAAATGTTAATACAAAAATTCCATCGATTGTATAAATTATAGCAATATATACAACTTCTTTCAATCATTTTAAGATTGATTTTAATCTTAACAAAAATGTTTTATTGTTTGGTGTAGTATACAAATGATATCTGCAATTTATATACAAGAATTCATTATATTATATTCTATTTCAAAATGACTATATATTACATAAACATATTCATTCCAACAGAATTTTATATATAAACATACACTTTTCATATACATCCAATTTACATACTAGTATTCTTTATAACATTTTTTTATCTTTTACGAATTATACATTTACACACACATATTTAATTTCCAAAAGGGTACATCAAACCAAAAATATACGTTTCTCATCTACATCCAATTAATAGATAATAAAAAGCTATAACTTATTCTGATAGAATAATAACAATATAAAACTACTATATATGCATCAAAAAACTATAAAAACAGCCCAACCACAAAATATATGAAGTCGATGAAATTGATTTTATATTTTCTAAAGGTAATCATTCCAAAAGAATTTTAGATTTTGGATTTTTATGTGTTATACATGTACAAACACATACTTACTTTTAAACAGGGTACAATCTACTGAAAAAAGATCCAATCGTCATTTACATCCAATTAATATAAAATCAAATAACTATAACGTATTCTACCAGAATCATAACAAATACTACATAGCATCATCATCATATAAACTGTAAAAAACAGTCTAGTCACAAAACATAATTAACCACAACCTTGAATTATATTAACAACGTTATTACAAAAAAAATACATCAACACATGCATTATTAACAACAATCTTGAAGTATATTTTAAAAAAATTCATGACCTCTGATAGACAAATACAACCTTTATATGAAAATTAATATTCCACTATATGAAAATTACATTACAAACAACAACGTTTGATTTTCACAATGCACAACATCATCATCCCAGAATTTAAACAAGGCATCAACACACCCTTTATATGAAAATTAATATTCCATTATAAGATATAAGCTTAAATACTGATAACATTACTTCATAACTTCTGATAGACAAACTACTTTTTCAAACATCTAACATATTGCAGAGTCATGTTTGAACACCCAAAAAAAAAGTTAAGCTCATGACATATCAAAGTTTATCTTTCAACTTATTAAATACCACTCCAAATTCTTACCTACGACCCTTTGTTTTTCTTTTTTTCTTCCTGTTTTCAGCTGACTCTCTTAGAACCATATCTTGTTCCAAAATATCAAGCTTACGAAACGCTTCAAAATCTTTAACTATCATAGTCTTAAACTTATTGAACTTAGCTGTCAACATTCTTGCCATGTATTTCGTCCTTAACTTAATTGTAGCACTCACATCAACAGGCATTTTACCTGTAAGACCACACTCCCAACGCCCTTCATTTTCCCCCATGTAACTTTCCATATGCCTCATGAGGTATATTCCACATTCTGTTCTAGCTTTTCCGACTAGCCAAGATATGTTCATCACCCGTCCCGTTTTAAAAGTTAACGTTTTTGCCATTGGATGATGTTGTGATGTCAAGTAGTTGCAAAACAGTTTTCTGTCATTAAATACAACAAATACATCAAACATACTCTTATAATATTCCTTACAATGGTAAAATATTGATCATAAATTTATTGATTATCTTACCACCAGGTTTGGAATCATGCCATACTTTCTTTCCAAAGTTCATGTCCTCTTCACATGATCTACTATGTAGTACAAACTTGATCTCAGATCAAAGATGAGTAAGTAATAATTTCCATCATCAAACTATTGGGAAGAAAACCTTGTACACATTAAAAGAAGAAGTTAAGTTAATATTAATTGATGCCACAAATATTAAATTTATTCAATAAACGTACAAGTGCAACGTCTCTAAAACTTGGCTTCACATCAAATTTCTTAGTGTAGATTCGCAATAAAGTAGCAAAAAGCCTACATTTCATATCTTCTGACTTTAGCTCATTCAATATATCTTCTGTCTGTAAAAACCCACATCAACATCAATATTAATTCTACAAAAATATATTTGAATTAAAATTTAATTTACAAAATAAATTCATACCACAATAGTTGTATCGAAGAAAAATCTTGAAAGCGATGATTCATCCTTGTAGTTCTCCATTTTATTTAAAAACGCAGCCCAACAATCAATTATTTTAGAATGCAAAAACATTCCATGATTGAATGCAAAAACATTCCATGATCGAAAGCGATCGATCCTATATCCAAACCATTTTATTTACCTGTTCCAGTGTCCCAAATCTCATCCCTGTGACAAAAATTATGTATAAAATCAATATGAATACATTCATTTTAAAATTATAGAAATATAATAGGTGACACATATATAAACATATATATATATATATATATATATATATATATATATATATATATATATATATATATATATATATGAACCCGTCATCTCTTTTAGATGCAAAAACAGAATTGCATATCCCTGTTTCATCCATAGTCAGCTTTTCCCCAACCTTAACAATTCTTTCAATATAGGGCGAATGAAATATTTTTGTCTTTTTAGGAATATGTTTTTCCCTTTTGTCATTATCATCATATCCTGCAGCATTATCAACAGCCTCTCCTATATTTCTTCCTACCAGATTATCCCCACTGATTACTGACATTCGCTTTTTCCTTCTATACACCTGTAACTCAGTTTCATCCAACAACTTAATCATTTCCTCATTCACCCCTGGAAGTCGATGAAACTGAGTCATTGTTAAAGAAGTCGTATCAACAGGTGTAGTATAATTGACTTCTTTTTCTGTATTAACTTCAGTAAGTATCAATCCTCGAACGGGTGAACTATTTCCTTCACCGCCATCACCTATATCATTCATATTTACCTCATTAAAGCAGTCAGGGTCATGCACCACACTATGAGGGAATTTTTCCAAACCATCCTTCAACGCAACCTCCATAGTACTTTTCTCTGTTAGAATTACCCCATAATTATGCTCTATAACAGTAGCGTATGCCTGCAATACATATAATTAATTTATAATAACATTACAAGAATATGTACTATATATTCTATAAGAATATGTAATTAAACATTAGTTTCAGAATATTTAATTTATATTATACCATAATATTAGCTCCTCATCTGCAAAATCCCTCTTAAAGCTTAGCATTTGTTGTTCTTCACCTCCTGTTTCATCGCCCATATCGACATCATCATGCTCATCCCGAAACTGCCTCCCGAACCCTCCCAAACTTATTTCCAATCGTTGAATCTCTAATAATTTAGCACCATTTATATGCCCAATAAAAGGAATCCTTTTGTCTAACTTGATAGAATACTTCATGTTATACACGTACACCAACTGAAAACAAAACATTAACTTAATCAATACATCAATAATAAATCGATACCAAATATATATTTTCATATAAAACTATTTCAAACTTACAATCAGAAGTGTAATAGGACCACTGTAGTAGCTTGATTTGTCATCCCTCTTCCATAGTTTTTTTCTAGATCCCAAACAATCAAGCATATATTTACACCAATTTAACTTTGAAAAGTCTTCTACCAACACCAACTTCCTTACCACTTTTATTTGATTTGTTCCCATCAACATTGACTCTATGAAGTTGTTAACAAAAAAGGGTTAAAAAATTTAGCCTAAACATCAAACTATCCTTTGTTGTAGCCTGAATCCTTCTTAAATACTCCTCACCATTGAACTTATCACAACTATATTGTCCCCTCCATTCTTCTAGAATTTGATTTCCCTTATCACACAATGGTAACTCATTGATGTCTTCTCCACCAAATGGCAACCCCATCATATCATGCATTGTTTGTTCTATTATCTCAATAACAAAGTTTTGTAGGACAAGTCGTTTACTATTGGGATCATACACATCTAAAAGATAGTAGCTTAGTTATCCCGGATAACTTGTAATATTCACTTGCAGAATTGATCCAAAACCCATTCTCAAGATTGCTTGTTTCTGTTCTGGAGACATTCCCATAACAGTTGCAGTGATGTTATCATATTTCATTCTGGTTGGGAGGTATCTTAAACCAGATGGCTATTCCTTATTTGTTTTTCTAACATTATCTTCTTGTTCCTCTTTGATAGATTCAGCAATTCCCTTATTTTTTTAAATGTTTTACAATTGGAACTCTATCAAATTGCCTCTTTGACCTTATCTCTCTTTCCATAAGTAGTGCATTTAAAGGTTTAGGACTTGTCTTTCGTTCAACTGATTTATCAAGTTTTTTCTTTGACCTTCTTTCTCGGTTCACATGTTCTTCTTCCTGAATTTGTTATGATACAACACACAATAGATAGTATAATGTTTAGTATTAGTTATTTGGTATTAAGGTTTTATAATATAAGATATTCCTTATATTATAACAGAATAAAAAATAAACATCACACAAATATATTATAATATAATAAATTCTAACAAAATATAAAATTACACTACAAAAACATCATAAATTTTATTTTGAAACATAACCCACTCCATATTGAAATACTTATTTTCATACATATTACAGTATTCAACTAAATTATTCTACAAGAATCAAATACTTTTAATTTAGAATTATACCAGAATCATATAATCGATATTCACACTCATATGCAACATTATATTCTTTTAGAATAGTACACATGTAAGCTTTTTCAATATATAAGATTTTGATTGTTTCAGTTTAATTCATTAATCATCTACAAACTTTGATTCAATTACAATTAAACATTTTTATGCTATGCTAATTAACTACTTACACGGATAAATTTTCATTACAGATTTAACTAATAAAACAAGTAGGCTAATTCTACAAGAATCAAATACATTTAATTTAGAATTCTATCAGATTCATACAATCAAATTTCACGCTCATATATAATATTACATTCTATTAGAATATGAAACATGTAAACTTATTCCACATACAAGAACTATGATTTTTTCAGTTTAAGTCATTAATCATCTACAAACTGTGATTCCATTAGAATTAAAAATCTGTATAAAATGCTAATTAACTACTTAAATATAGAAATTTAGCTTACAATGTTAACTAGTAAAACAAGTAGACTTATTCTAGCAGAATATCAACCATGTTCAGGTTCATATACAGCACATTCTATTAGAATATGAAACATGTAAACTTATTCCACATACAAGAACTATGATTTTATGAGTTTAAGTCATTAATCATCTACAAACTGTGATTCCATTAGAATTTAAAATCTGTATAAACTGCTAATTAACTACTTAATTATAGAACTTTAGTTTACAATTTTAACTAGTAAAACAAGTAGACTTATTCTAGAAGAATAACAAATACATCAAACACACACAGAACATTCTATTAGAATATGAAACATGTAAACTTATTCCACATACAAGAACTACGATTTTTTCAGTTTAAGTCATTAATCATATACAAACTGTGATTCCATTAGAATTTAAAACCTGTATAAAATGCTAACTAACTACTTAAATAAAGTAATTTAGTTTACAATTTTAACCAGTAAAACAAGTAGAGTTATTCTAGCAGAATAACAACCATGTTCAGGTTCATATAAAAAGAACATTCTGGCAGAATAACATACACAATAATTTCATTATACCATAATATTCAAAATTCAATGCATACTTTACTTAACAGTAATGATTCTTAAGAAAATACCAAAAAAGGACACATTTTTCTTCCAGGCCACAAATCATACATGCATAAATGATTTCAAATACACTTCCTAAACTCTACTACATTTTTCGAACTAAATAAACATTAAATACCACAAAAAAATTGTTACCTTCAGGTTCAACAACGAAATCATCATTGTCATCTTCAAGATTCAACGCCATCTCTACTGTGTTCTTGAACTTTTGACTTGAATGAACTGGATCGTGTACTCCTCATTGTTGCAGAATACCATTAATATAAGCCCCCAAATGTCGATTCCGTCTTCTAGGGTTAAATGTCGATATTTATAAGAAAAACCTTCAAAGGATCTTCCGATTTTGAAGACTAATTACAATAAATCAGAATGTTTTTCAACCTCCTAAGGATTTGGCTTCTTGATTTTGTGAGTATGCGAGATATTTGGGATCATCGGTTGATCACTTCTATAGTTATCCACCGTTTCCTAATTAAATGACAGGGCAAAATACCATTCTACCCTTGATTGACCGGTCAATTGATTAAAGCCCAAAAATGGGTGGATTTTAATATATACAATGCATGAAAAAGAAAAGAAAATGTAAGTATATTGTTATCATCAACAAATACATGAAAGTCCATTGCGATTTTCGGATATGATTTTTTCACCTTACGGAAAAAATTATCAGCATCATTTGCACTTCACCTTACAGACTTTATTTAAATACAAAGTAAAAAGTTTATAAAAAAGCTCTATGGACTAAATGCTCTTAAATACCAAGTATGAGGTATGTTAAAAGCTCTATTGACCGTACTCAAATTCTTTTGGAACCAAGTTCGATTAAATAAAACATTACTGAGAAAAGAAAAAAATATTGCTTCTAAAAGATTATACATGGAAAAAACACCAAAAGTATACTAAGCTAAGCCATTCTAGGCAATTTTCAACAAAACTTTCAGCAAATACTACAAGTAGTCTTTTGCATTTCAACATGCACAATGGTTCATATAGGTAACCTAAACATTATAAAGCAGGAATATAGGAATAAGGGTTAAGGTCATACATCGGTAACCAAATATGTCCCATTTACTTTATAAGTGTTAAATGTAAGAAACAACAACCTATTTTATTCGAAGTATAGCATCTAAACAATAAAGAGCTTTAAAGTACAATGTTATAGTTTGGTAGTTATTGGAAGTAAAATGGTTGTATACAAAAAAAAATACAGAAGAAAATGCAGTAATAGAAAAAACAAAAAGATAGGATTTTAATATTGTCAGGAAAAGAATATATAAATGTCGGATTAAAAAGTGCATGCATTTTCATATTTAATGTCAACACATAAATGTATATGTATAGTAAAAAATCAAAAGCATGGGCCATACTTGTCAAAGAAGGCATTAAGGAACACATTTCTTGAGGGAAATAGTGGTTTAGTTTTCCTGTTTCCAGATCTGCAACCTATACTTTAAGCTTGTTACCACCGTCATCTTCTTGTTCCATTATAGTCGTTGGTGGTGAATGCCGGAAAATCTGTAATGGGGTTTAAAGTTTAGACATTAGTTCTATGGCTAACCATAAAAAATCATATTGATTCTCTCCTGACAGTAATATCAACAGTTGAAATAAAACAAATAAAACTTTATATATAGTAATATATGCTTATTCATCTTCTTCTTGGTCTCTTTTTGGTGTGTTTTAACAAATAAAATTGACTGGCATACCCAAATTTACCATTAACCACACTTCTCTTCGATATTTTATCAAACACCTTTAGGGCGTATTCCCTACATCAATGCAGATTCTATTAATTGCCACCACAATAGTCTAAATCAAAAACATTTCATAAATAAATACCTACACACACAAAATCATACATAAATACTATATAATGTCAAATATTCCATGGATTTAGTCTCGTTCTTAATTTCAAAACTTAAATGACTTCCGTCACAACTGTAAAAAAAATCTAAATTGTAGGCATAGAGATAAAAATTTATCAACAGGTTCAATCAACATCAAAAATTTAGAGCACTTGCTATATCTCAAAGGAAGAAGAGAAGAGACCATAGATGGAGATGGACTCATACAAAGATGCAAGAGCGGATGAAATTACCTCATGTAAAGTGAAATCAGAGAGAGCATTGGGACCCAAATATTGTTGACTATTTCATTAACCCATAATTGCTCCATTATAAAATCCTAAAGTAGATAACATTTACAATGAACCTATGTAATCAGTTCAAGTTTTTTCTTGAATGTATTTTTCCCATCAGTCATGTTGAGAACAAAATCTTCCATAAAACCATCTCTAGATGACAAAACATGAAAAATCACATTATAAATCCGCAAACTTCACAATAATTAAATTTCATAATTGTTTATCTGTTTTCTAATGGCACGAGAAAAAGAAATTGAGAAAGTAGGTTACCATTGTTCACACATAGTAACCAACTATGGTTAAGTAGAAAGACAACATTCTGAAAAAGTCCAAAAGTTGACCAACTATGTACACCTTTGTAGAAGAATCCAAGAAGACCAATCAATCCTGGATTGCCACCAGATGAATTGGCAAAATCTTTAGCTGCGAAATAAGGGCTCTTTTTTAGATGACAAGTCAAAAAAAGAAAAAAAGAAAAAAAAAAACATGTTAATAAGATAAGTTCAAGGCTAAAAACCTGTAATTAGAGCTTGAAGTATCAACAACCCATGAGAACACAGTTTTAAACAAACACACCAACATATTAGGGCTGGAAGATAAAAAAATGGAGGCCACTTTCTTGAATAGACAATGGATCTAGAAATATAAAGGCTTAAAAGGGTATACTCTTGAATACCATTTAAAAAAAGTTAAGGTATGAAGCTTTTATATGAAATCTGAGTCCCGTTTAACCGTGACTAACTGAGTAATGATAGTTACCAAGCTATTAAACATCTTGATATATTTTGAATTATGTAAGTATTTAAACTACATCCTTTCTTCAAATTTAATTCCATTAATATAAGAGTGTCTTGATTCAGTTGTTTTTTCTTATGGAAAAAGATGCTTTACGTTCATATGTTGGTCATGTAGCTGCTGCTATTATATTATGTTGTTGAGTTGTATTATTTGGGAAATAAATATCTTCAGGTTTATATGTTGGGCATGTTATCATGTAACCTAACTTCATCATG